AAAGAGTATCATCAAATTATTTTCATTTATTATTTTTTGTAGTGCCAAAGAACCATACTGATGATTATCCACTAGAGAGTAAAAAATGAGCATGGGGCTTGAGAAACTAAACAGTATACACACCTCACATGTCAAAGTCTCAGTGGTATGTTCTGTCAGCAGTTGCAAATTAAACAGCAGCTAACAACAGAGAAAAACCTTATTTCAAATCTTGTCATAAAAAGGAAGTTTTTATACTTCTGATTTTGCAAAAAGAAACATGCATAATAAAACACATATGTAAAATTTCAGTAATTTCCAGCAGAATGCTGGGATATGTCAGGAAAGTAAGAGTTTGAGAAAAGGCATGTTCACAATGCTAGGAGGCAAATGCACATTGGTGATGAAACATCAAAGGCACTCCAGCAAATTCACTAGAACATTCATTATGTGGAATGTGAGTCCTGGAAATATTAAGGAGACAGGTAGAATGGCTTTGGAATATCAGCAGTATATTATCAGCACTGTTGTGGGATATTTGTACACTGTGTGAAGATGTATTGCTGTGACCGGTGTAATAAAGGGCTGAACGGCCTGTAGCTAGGCAGGAGGTATAGGTAGAATTTCTGGGCAGAGAGAGGAATTAGGAGGCGATAATCGAGAGGCAGAGAGATGCCAGGAGACATGGAGAAAAAATAGGGGGTACAAAATGGGAGAGGTAAAAACCATGTGGTAGAACATAGATTAATCTAAGTGGGTTATTTTAAGTTCTAAGTGCTAGTTAGGAACAAGCCTAAGCTATAGGCCAAGCTTTCACAATTATTGAGAAGTCTCTGTGTCATTATTTGGAAGCTGGCTATGAAACAGAAAAAGACTTGTTACACAACACTAACGTCCAGACCACAAGATCCTCAGATAACAATCCAATTTCATCTGCATCTAATTAACTTGATCTAATATAAACCTTGCAATAGTTTGAAAAGTGAAAGAAGTTTTTCCATTGAGCTACCAAGTTCATGGTGATTTAAAAAAGCTTAGATTTATGGGTACCCTTCTAATTCAGTCTTTAATTCTAAGTGAACGCAATTAAGAACTCAACATAAACCAAGCTTATATAAAACAACACTGGAAATCATTATACAATGCCAATTACTGTAATTGCCGAAAATAAACTCTAGGAAAATTCAAGTACTTTTTACTCTCAGTCAAAGGTTCTTACCTTTTCCTCTTTTAGGAGAGGACATACACCCTTGCTCTACCAAGAGCTGCACCAGCCCCCAGGGCCCTGCACATATATATATACACACCTGCTCTACCACAGTAGATACCCAGCCCCCAGGTTCTTACTTTTTAAAAGAATTTTTATGTTTGTGTGTGCCTGTGTGTTTGTGTTGGTATACTACGGTGGTTAAAAGAGGGTTTGTGTCTCCTGGAGCTAGAATTATAGGCAGCTTGTGAGCCACTCAATATGGGTGCTGGAAACCAAATGTGGCTCCTCTGCAAGAACAGCAAGCACTCTCACCTGAACTTTCTCCGTAGCTCCAGGTTACTCTTGTTATAGGTTTTGTGCATCTTCCTTTTCAAGGGATTTATTCTAATTTATTACTTACGTATAAATGGACAATTCTCTGAAATATATCTTCTCTCATGCTCATCTCGATATCAAAACGAGAAAGTCTTTTGTCTGCCTCTGTGCTCGCAGCCCGTACTTCTCTGTCAGATGACACGTGCTGAGGGAAGTCCAGCATGGTCCTTTCCACTGTTGAGGCAAGGAAAAACTGTGAACATGACAGGACCTGTCAAGTTGGTAGTAGACCAAGTATCTCTTTTTGAGATGAAGGATTATGCCGAAAAAGTGTTTTTGTTTTGTGCTTTCGGCAAAGGCTCTCGAGACTATCAAGAGGAAGTCCTGGATGTGTGAGTTGGCTGTTCTACTTGGCATCACTGTGAGTGCAGTAAGGCTGTGCACCCAGCACAGGGCATAACCGATTAACTATGAATTATAAAGACAGTTCCTATAAGTCATGATCTGGGAAAGGAAGGACTTGGTGTATAAAAATAGATGGCAGAGCCTGTGGGTTGTCAATGAGAGGGATATTGGCTCAGAGGCAGCAGCTCCCAAGGACACTAGGCAGTATGCTGTGGAGAATGACTCTAGAAGAGGAAGGGTCCCCTGTGTTTTAGAAAACAAGAGACCGAAAGCAAGGGACCCAGCCAGGACACCGGATATTTGCAAACAAGTGAATCAATGAAGCAGGAAGGGGTTTGTATAAAGAAGTTCTTCATCATTTCCCCTACTACAGACTCTTTGCAGAGTCTAATCTAAATTACAGGCCCCACCCGAAATGCACATATCAAATAAACAAAAAATTCTAGATAATTCTAGATACATGCAGCAAATAGCTGGATGCTGTGGCTATGCCTGCTAAATGATGATGGTAATGGACTATTCTAATCTTCATATATTAAGTCAGTTGTTGAGTTTTCACATACTTCAATTGGCCAAAAACCTGATATTAGTGACATAGCTGTAGCAAAGACAGTGATGGCTGTGGTCACACTGTGACAAGGGATACATCTTACTACTCTCAGTACCATGTTTGTTCTGAGACAGTCCAGGCTGGCCTTGAACTTATCATTCCCCTGCTTCAGCCTGCAGTCCAGAGTAGACACAGTCACCCCTTACTTACAGTAAGGAACAGTGTAGTTAAAATGCTGCCACATTCACACCAGTCCTCTTAAAACAGTGCTACAAGTAAAGTTACTAACAACATGTCAAAAATAGAATAAATACATAATTTCTACCATTGAGCCATACCCCTAGCTCTACAATACACATTCCTAAAAAATCAAAATCTGTATAATTATATTTTAGCACCTGACAGTTTATACATTTACATTTGGTAATTAGGAAAAGGTGGCACAGATTAAAATTTTCATACATAGTGCACCACTTTAGTTATAATTTCTGCTTACTAAAAAGCAATGAAAATTTCTCAAGAACCTAAATGGGTAACAAGATAAAGTGCAGGAGCCTAAAATTGGAAACAATCCTGAACAATACACCGATGGCCATTTCCTTCCTTCCTTTACCTCAGAAGCCTGGAGCAGACTTCCATTCCGCTGCCAAGCTATAAACAACGCTGTCTGTGCCCAGGGCGGACACTAGGCAAATGAGACTCAGAGCTACTGAGGCATGTACTCCACAAGAGGTAGATAAGAGGGAGTTAGTTTTGACAAGTCTGCTCCCTCAGAGGCTTGATGGTTACCTGTAAAGATACATTTATGGAGAGCAAAAACAAATACCACAAACTTCTATACACATTTAAAATATTCATTACTGGGGAAACCCAGGACTTAAGAGAACTTTTTAAAGTGAGTTTGTGTCTCTTCCTCCCCTCCCTGCTTTCTTTGCTTCCCAATCAAATGCACACACTGTTAGGCTGACACAGTAGCCTGATAAGGAAAAGGAACTGAAGAAGAAATGAGAACTTGAGCCAAGAACAAACCTGTGCTGCTGGAAAAACCCTGACTGACAGAAAGGACCAAGCAAACCCCAATCAGGAGTTTACAGTTAGGCCTCAGAAGATGTAGTGGCCACTAACCAGAGTGAAGAGATTGTAGTAGGATAGATATGGAAGCAAAAACAGAGAGAAGAGAAAATACCCATGTCCTTATGACAATGGTGAGTGGGGTAGGGAACACTGGGTAATTAGGGGCTAGCAGAAACACAAGTCACTACAGCTGCACTGGTTTTGGCCAGCCTTCCAGTTTCTAGAACACATACAAACATTTATGATATCCAGTTTGCATATATAATTTTGTATACATAATATATAAAATTTACACACATAATTTTAAGTGAAGTCTGGATCCACAGCCTAGGTTATTTAGCCATAATTATCTTAAAGAAATATGTCTAATTCTTAAAGGGAGTCTTGCCTTGTATAAGTCTAAGGATGTGTTTAAGACAACAGGTGAAGAGAGAGAAACGAATAAAGAAAAATCAAAACAGCCCACCACTCAAAAGATACTGATCATTGCAATGAGTGATTTTATGTACTGAGTTTTATAGGTGTTTTGGATGAGACTAATACTGAAGTTGGTGAACCTGGGGTTCACTGGCCACCATAGGTAGGTAGCCTCATCCAGTTAATTGAAGGCTGGCACAAAAAGTAAAGCAGAATTCTCTAGTAGGCTGATTTGGGTGTCACACACAGGTGCTTCTGGGTCATGGGATTGCAGGTCCACACTACAGTTTGGCCTTTCTATCTTCCAGGCTTCTGTGAGCCAGCTCCCAATAGGAAATCTCCCTGCATCCATGCACACACCCCAGTGGCTCTGCTTTCCTAGAGAATCGTGATAGACAGAACATCATTAACCTTGTCTCAGAGGTTTCTGTGTGTGTGTGTGTTTTCTGTTGTTGTTTTTGAGATGAGGTCTTGGTCTATAGCCCTACCTAGCCTTATACTTACTACACAACAGTAGCTGGCCTTAAACTCTCAGCAGTCCTCCTGCCTCAGTCTCCAAAATTCTAGGATCACAGGTTCCTTCTCTATGCTTGTCTCCTATGCTGTTATATACTTTTTCTAACCATGATTTTAATGGCTACATAAAATTATAGAGGATGGATGTTTCATCATTTATCTAGCTACCAAACTCTGTGCCTAATTCTACAACAATCTGATTCTTTATCAGCTGACATTTAGGGTTTGTGTCTGAGCCTTTGATATGAAAACAGTACCTACTTATACATTAATTTATATAGAATGAATTTCTAGATGCAGAATTTCTGGATGAGGGTATGAGACTCTTGGTACTTCTAATGTGCACAGTGTGGGGGGTGAGGAGAGTGCACAGTGTAAGCAATAATCAACCCTGTGTAAGGGTCAACTTCTTGTAAAAGTGGATAATTGACTATTAGACAGAAAGGGTAAAATGGTTATAGATTCCACAAAAGAAACACTGATATGCTGGCGTCTCCACCCACCTATATACTTCACTTCTATATCGGCCAGCACCTGCAAACAGTTCTCGTAAGTTACTTCTTTCAGGTTGATTGTCCCCACAGCGTCATACACCTGCTTGGTCTGTGTGATGAGCTCTTCTGTCCTTGTCTTGATCTGCTCTGGAGAAAGGTCCCATCTTAGAACGTTCCTGCCAGTGGCAGTGTAGGAAGACGCAGCCTGAAGAGGAGACGACACCTCTCTTCCCAACGTCATTCTCAGCAGAATCCTGGAACCACCAGCTCTAAAAAGAATTGGAAAAAAAAAGAACAGAAATTAAGAATTCTGTTGTATGTGTGCAACAGAGTCAACTGTATAGATGGCAAGAGTCTCAGTGGGAGACAACTAAAGGAATGCAGTTCATGGCCAGAGCTGAGAACTGGGAATGCTAGAGTGTGACACTGAAGAAGGAGGTGGAGAATGTGAGACAGAACCCAGACAATTCTGTATAGATGTGGCCAAGAATTAAGACCCAAGCACAGAAGAGGATAGGTGAGACCCTAGCCCTGATCTCACTTCTCTCACAATATTTCTTACCGAGACTCACTCAAGGCAGGCACTGTATTTTCTGGTATATATTCATGTTTCCTTGCTTGTTTGTTTTTGTTCTTTGAGACAGGGTTTCTCTATGTAGACCTGGCTGTCCTGGCACTCGCTCTGTAGACCAGGGTGGTCTTGAACTCACAGAGATCTGCCTGCTTCTGCCTCCTGGGATCAAAGCTGTGTGCCACCACCACCGGGCTACATTTCTTGTTATCAACAGAATAAGATTAAGACTGTTCCAAACCTGCCCTTATGTATTAAGGTGTAATTTACATATTAATCTAATTAAATGTATGGAAATAAAGAATCTGGTCGTGCCCTCGCCCCCAGATAAAATGTTTAAAAACATTTTAAAAGGCAGTTAAATGAAACACCAATAACAAAAACTGGTTAATGTAAAAAACTGGGTAAAAAAATATAAAAATGTAGAAGACCTCTGAATTCATATTACTTAGTGTGTCTTTAAATTCTCATCCCTTAAAAAAAAACTAACAGTGTAAATCAAAGATGCAGTTCAGGCTCAGGAGCTAAGTGCACCTATGGCTCCTGCAGAGGATCCAAGTTGGGTTCTCAACACCCATGTCGGTCAGATCATGACTGCTTGTGACTCCATCTCTGGGGGTCTGATGCCCTCTTCTGGATCCTGTGGGCATTGCACTCAGGTGCATATCCCCCTCACCCAGAGTCATGGATATACATATATACTTAAAAAAACAAAACAATCAATCTGAAAAAGATGTGGTTTATGGTATATGCAAAGGGAAGAATGAGAAATAACAACTCAAGTCCTTACAGACCTAAAAGGCCTTGTCCCTGAGCAAAAGACACTGAGATCTGCATTGATGTTTCAAAAAGAAATCTTTTTATGGTTTTACTTGGAACCAATGTATAGCCATTAAAAGATACATATAATGCAAGGTCCCCATGGCTTCAGGAAGAAATGGGATAGAAAACATGAGTAGGACAGTTTTAGAGAAAAGAAACTCCAGCCTTGGTACAACTAACAGTACAGATGAAAAGGGAGCAGTGATGTGAGAGTGAAAATATGAGACATTTGACTTTGAGAATTCAATGGCCGGGCAGTGGTGGCGCACGCCTTTAATCCTTCTCTGTGAGTTCAAGAAAAAGTCAATGGCTGGGGCGGAAGAGCTGGATCATCATCAGTTAAGAACACTTACTGCAGTTCCTTAAGAGAAAATGAACTCAAAAATAAAGCAGTATAAGCCGCAGGGAATTTCCCTTAATTATTTGACTCATGTAAGTAAGCTGCAGAGTAGAAATGACTGAGTCCAGTTCACCTAAACTGTGTGAACACTGGAGTCAGAAGCTTGTTGGCTGGACCTGGGAGTAGAAGATGACCAAAACGGAGGGGAGAAACCACCTTATTGGAAGAGGACAGCAAATACAGGCCACAGAATGGTAAAGTCAGATTGGGAACCTCAAAGGGCTTCATTGTCTCTGGGGATCAGCCCAAGGTTTTTTTTTTTTTTTTTTTTTTTTTTTTTGTGTGTGTGTGTGCGCGCGCGCACGTGCGTGCGCAAGAGCGCTCTGCAGGTGTTTTAGACAATGGTACAATGGTGGAGATGTCAGTCAAGAGTGGTACTGCAGGCCAGTTTGGTAACTGGGGAGGAGCACGGGCAGCTATGCTTTCCTTATTTATAGTGTAGGGTGTGGAAAAGAGAAAGATAAAGGGGACATATTTTCTTCATGGTCGGGGGATTTTAGTGAAGGCCAGGATAGAAAGGAAGAGCTGCATCAGACTATGGCAAATGTGGGTTTTATTTTTCATGGGAAACACCAATGGTGAAGTCTAGACTGCAGCAGTTGGTCGGATAAGCACGGGCTTCTTGCCATTCACCTACACACACTGTTTTCCCTCTTTTCTTATAGTGTTACATGATTGGTATACATCCTGAAAATTGACCTAAATTCTTTGAAATACTCGGCAAATATTTCCTCCCAGGGCACCCAGGGCACCCCATAGTCCAAGCAGTTTAAAGTGACTGCTTCTATCACTAGAATGCGCACATGAACCGCTGTGAGAGAAATGGTTCCATTCTCACCCTGATGTTGAAAGTCTGTGCCCCTGACCCTGACGGTAGCGGGCAGCCATCGTATGAGAAAGAGTAGGATGTGATTTATGATGAAATAAACACTGTGAGTGAGAAAAGGAAGAAGCTAAATATTTAATGATGTCACTGAGCAACTAGATCAACTGACTCTGAAGCCTGACCCAGAGCCAGACTTTCCAGTTGTGAGAGTTAATAGATCCCTTCTATCCTTTAAGACAGTTTAAGTTTAGCTTTAGAGTTTTGGGCTTCACAGAGAATCTCAACTGGTAAAGGAAGAAAGAAATGAAGCAGGAGGAAGAGGAGAAGCAGTAGTAAGAGTAGTGCTAACACAGTAGTGGTAGTCGTAGTCACAGTCCTATAGAGGTCAGGGTATAAGGCGTGAGGACTGAACAAGAGGGTTTTATGTCCTTGATGTTGGACCCACCTGTGAAGTTCACCTTGGGCTCTAGCTTTCTAACATAATTATTCCTGCAACCCCTCAAGGATCCAGTGAGCAGAGGACACTGAGAAAGAGTCAGCTGTGACCACAACTGACTGCTTCCACCTTGCATCTGAGCTGTTCACTTCAGACACTATCATCACGCTGCTCAGTTACTGTACAGTTGTCTTGTACTAGAAACCAGACTGGGATTTCCTCAAACATCTCATTACTCCACATTTTCCCTAACAAATCCCCACCTCACACAGTGCTCATGGGAAACAAGCCAGCATTGATAAAACCAAGAGACAACAGCAATATTGCATCTTCCTTTATCTTCACAATGAAAACATTTATAAAAGAAAATGTTTTTATTGGAGCCAGGGCCACATCAAAGGCCCATGTAAAATGCTACAATTCCTATATCCCTATGATATTCGTTTCCCCAAAGAGTTCCTGGATTGCAATACATGGTATGTATTACATAATACCTTCCTGGAAATGGACCCCATTCTTTGTAATACTTGGAAAATATTTCTAGTTTAGTTAAGCCAAATGTTTCTCTGTAGACTCGGGCTAAGGTCTGCATTCAATCAACCCCTCCCCACCCTGGAAGAGCTGTTCATGTTTATTTCTGGTCTGGCTATTTTGTCAGGAATCCTCTTTAATCCCGAGTCTATTGTTCACAGAGTTCTCTTTTTCACGCATTTGCTCTGACTAGATTATCTGTCTTTACAGCTTATTGGTTCCTTCTATAGCACAGGACTCTTTAACTTTTATTTTAATTCTTTGGTTTTAAAGACGAGTTCTCATGGTAGCCCAAACTGGTTTTAAACTTGCCTCAGCTTCCTGAGTTGATGAAATTACTGGCCCCAGGCTCCTGTATTTTTGAGTTCTCCAGTTGCAGACAGAGCCCAGTCTTGCACTTCCCTAAGCTCACCTTTCCTACTCAACCACTTCCTTCAGGAAGCCTGCAGCCAGCTGGCAGAGCCTTCCACTATACTCTTGCTGTCCAATGCTGCTATTTACATGAAGAGTAAAATAAAAGGAGCAGTTTAGTGCCTTGGTGGTACCAAGCATATGAAATATTCATCAGCCACTTGTGAGTGGATGCTACACTGGACAGTACAGACAGCATTTCCCCCTGCAGTCAGGTCCCACGGACAGCCCAGTCTAGATGGCCTCAGTCCTGAACCGCTACCTGCTAGTGTGTGGTACACCTAACAGCCTTGATTGTGCCATTCCAAGGGTACACTTTCTTATCTAGCTGTGTGCCTTCTCTGGAAGGAAAAGGGGCAGAGAAAGACAAGAAAGGAGAACTCATTTGCAGTCAAGGTGGCAGATAATGTTAAAACCCCCACCTAATCCTTACAGTACTGAGAAATAAGAATGAACATTGCTTTCAAGAACACGGTGTAAGGAAAAGACTTGAAGTCCTTCTTGGGAGCAGAAGGGCAAGGCACTGACGGCATAATGGCACAGAAATATCAGCCAAGTATTTCAAAGAATCAGAGGTATCCTTTTTCAGGAAGTATAAAGACTGTGCAATACAAACCAGCAACTCTTTGTGAAAGGGTAGGAAAATGAATGTTATATGGATGTGGGTGTTACAGTGTTTCACACTGTTTAATTGTTCCTAAGAGATTATTTACATTTTATACCTTAATTTTAAAGATTTAATTGAAAAAATTAAGACACCACACACACACACACACACACCACAGACTGCACTGTCCTAATAAGGTGGACTAAGGAGGGGTTGGATACCTTGGAGCTGTAGTTAAGGTGACAGTGAGCTGCTGGTGCTGGGTGCTAGGAACTGAACTTAGGGCCTCTGCAGGAACAATACATGCCATTAGCCTCCCAGTCATCTCTCTAGTCTCCTAAAAAAAAATTTTTTTTTTGAAACAAGGTGGCCTGGAACTTGTTATGTAGAGCAGGCTAGCTTGGAGCTCACAAAGATCCACCCTCCTTTGCCTTGTTCCTGCTAGGATTAAAGGCGTGCATCATTACACATGAAAGACTAAAAACTTTGTTTCAAGATTTTTTAAAATTATGTGTCAATGTATGCTTGAGGGTGGGCTTGTTCATGTGAGTGATTATACTCTTAATTTTTAAAATGAGGGTTAATATTATTTATTAACTATGCTTACCAAGATAGACTGATAGAAAATTTTCCCTGATAGTTGTTGGTACTTCACTTTAGTACAA